AGTTATGTATTTTGATTGGCTAATTATCACGGGAAATCACGGGTAGATCTACCAATCATAAGAATGTCGTCCTATGACCTCCAACCTCCGTGCCCCCAACCCTAATTTGCCCATACTTGAGCTTTTTGACTTCGACTTTTACAGTTTTCGATTTCTCAATTAGTATTTTAGTAGTTTAGTTTTGTTAGAGAGTTTTCGTTAAAACCCCTTTTCTTTTATCTTTAAATTATTTTATTGTTTGATTTTCTTTATATTGTTTTATCTCATTTATTTATTATATCTCGTACCCGTTTCATATCTCTTATCTTTATAAACTTATTTAATAAATACATATTTTCTCTCGCATATATTTAAAATCTTCTACGCATTCTCTTAAAGCGCATTGCGCATACATCTAATTGTTTAACCTATCCTTATATATCCCTACTGTAATTGTTAGTCCGTGCTATAATTGTCCCTAAACTGTCTAACAATTAACCCATCCGATTTATATTATCATCCATCCTTAAAGTGTACATTGCATACTTCTAACACTTGTTCCCGCGTATTGTTAACTCGACCCAATTCTCTTCTCGTTACTATCAAAGCTAATAAGGCTTTATTGCCATACGCTCTCCCACTTGGTAGTAACAACGTGATTGGTTACGTTAAAAGTTACAAGACAACTAACCAATCAAAATTTGTTATTGACAATATTAATAAACATGAATTTTTATTACATTTAATATACAACAACTCTTTATTTAATAAAAAATTTCACTATATCCTCTTATAAAATTTCGTCCGCTACGAGTGTCCTGAAATTTTCATCAATCTTTTTGTTCATGTGAAAATAAAATATGTTTTTAATTTATTTCAAATTACCAATTTATTTTCATGAGATTGATGATTTTGGCTTAAACCGAGGTAGAAATATTCAAGAATTTGATTTCAATCATGCGAAAGGGATTGTTTTGCATGATAACGGTAAACCAATGCTTCGTAAATTGAATGCGGATTCTCCTATTGTTTATATTCCATTGTCTCAATATTCAATTTGGGATAATTTAAGAAGTACAAGTTTATTTGAAAGCATTAACGAGGTGAAAATGAATGATACAAATTTTCAAATTCACGTTCCAGTTTCAACAGTTGAATATACAGCTGACGTATCTGATAGTTTTATTAAAGATATCGAGAGCGCGCTTAAAATTTCGAACGAAATTGAAAGAAAAAAGGTTATAGAAAAGAACTTTGATTATTATGGAAATTACGTTGTAACGAAGTTCACACTTGGAGGTATTATCACAATTAGAGATTGGATAAACGTATCTGATGAAAGTAAGACATATTTAAAGAACTATATAAAATG